GTGTGTGTGTGTGTGTGTGTGTGTGTGTGTGTGTGTGTGTGCGCGTGTGTTGGGGGGGCAGTGGAGAGCCTCCTCCCAGGTGCAGACCACACAGACTCCACCTGAACCGCCCTCTCCTCGTCCCTCTCCTGCCTCTTCTGGTCAGCCCTGCCACGCCACTCACTTCCATTTCGGCTCCCCGCTTCCCATCCACTCACTCTCAAAGCGCCCAGCTGGCCAGCACTTAAAACCCACGGCCGAGCTGGGGAGGACACAAACACAGAGGCTGACCACTCCCTTCCAAGAACAGTCAGCACTGGATGGAGAGATTCATCCGAGGGCTATAGATCCTTCCTTCCCTCCCCCCACCCCACCCCACAGGGGTTTTAGCTCAGGGCTCTGCCTCTGAGCTCTTTTGCTCAAGGCCAGCGGGTCTACCATTCTGAGGTACAGCTCCACTTCCGGGTTTCTGGTGGTTCGTTGGAGATAAAGAGTCTGTCGGCCTTTCCTGCCTGGGCTGGCCTTGAACCATGATCCTCAGATCTCAGCCTCCTGAGTAGCTAGGATTACAGGCGTGAGCCACCGGTGCTTGGCTCACTTCTAGCTTTTTGCTGGTTAATTGCAGATAAGAGCCTCATGGATATCTGCCCGGGGTGGGCTTTGAACCACAATCCTCAGATCTCAAGTCTCCTGAATAATTATGACTACAGAAGTGAGCCACAGGCCCTGGGCGTGGATCCCCTTCTGGACTCTCCCAGGATTCTTCCCTTAATCCAACTGCCCCAACCCGTTGGCCCTGCCACCCCCCTCCCCTACTGACCTCTGATGGCAGGGGTGGCTCTCCAGGGCACAAGCCTGGAAGGCCACAGCCCGCGGTGCTGAATCCAGTTCTCCAAGCCCTGGTCCAACCACAAACCCATCCTAGTAGCCCCTTGAGGACCTTCTGTCTCCCACTCATTGCTCTGTCAGCTGGGATTGGGGAAAGTGCTCGCTGGCTGGAGGATACATTGCTTTGGCCTGGCCGGAAGGGCTGGGCTTTGGTCTCCTCTTAGATCTCTGGAACATTCCCCAGCCCTGACTTCATCCCACTTCACAGTCAGGTGCACTCACAGCTACTGCGCTTAGGTACCAGACCCATGTGGGCACACAGGACACTGGGTACCAGTGAGTGACTAGGTCCTAGGAGGCCCTACACTGTATGCCTTTTGTGTGGGTTTCCTCACTGACTGGGGTCAAAGCAGCTGTGGCTGAGCTTAGGCCTGCTCCACAAGTGACCCCCACTGCCACATACACTCAGCATGCAAGGGGTCTGTGTTGTGCAAATGTCGCCTGCCACAGAGACACACAGTTTTGCCATGCCACCACTGCAGACTTCTCTTTATTTTCTCCGGGGATGCTTGAGCTCTACAGCTTGGAGCTTAGGCACCAGGCCTTCTACTTTGACTTTGCCTCTCAGGGCCTCCCAAGAGCGCCCCTCTCCTCTCCCCTCCCCCAATCAGGGAGGCTCACAGCATGGTCTCCACCATGCTGGGGTCCTCTAGGAACCGGTTGATGCGTTTGGGACGTAGCGGGCCTGGTTGGGTGTCCGTCTCCCCTTCAGCTTCTGGCTGGTGATCCTCATCTTCATCTTTTCCCTGGTCTTTGGAGAAGTATAGGAATACCTGGCAGGTGGGTGGCACAGAGGGACAGGAAAAGACAGGAGGGGCTGTCAGTCGAGGGTGGGGACTCCAGTCCCTCTTCCAGTCCCATCCTGCCTCTGCGGTCACCTCCTCCAGAGTGGTTTGGCTCACGGAAAAGTCCTCCACGCCGTGGTCTGCGCCATGTGCGGCTAACTCTCCAAAGACGTGCGCCAGAGCGCAGCGCCCTCCCGGCGGCAGCTGGAAGCGCAGGCGGCCTCCGTGCACCTCTCGAAGCTCGGCCCCTGGGAACGCCGCCGCCACGAAGGCCGCCGCCCGCTCGGGTTGGTCCGCCGGGACCCTCAGGGTCAGTGTGTGGCCAGACCCGAATCTGGAGGGGTCGGGACCAGGGCTACCAGACACGCCCACACAGCCTCCCCGGCCTGCTAGCCTAGCTCCCCACGATCTACAGCCACATGGCCTTTTCCTACCTTCCTCAAAAGAGGCTCCCGGCCCTACCCGCCAGCTCACCCCGTCCGGTCCGGCTCACCCGTGAGCCCCACCACCGGCCTCGGCCTGTGGATACTTTACTCCTCCCGGCTCCATCTGTCACCCCGCCCAGAGCCCCCTTACCATTCTCTCTCTGCCCCCCCCTCCCCGCCCCCAACAAGCGATCCCATCCCCACACTTGGCAGCCCAGCCCTTCCAGCCCGGGCCCAGTCCAAAGCCATCCAACCCTGCCCAGCCACTCTTCTTTCCCGGTCTCCCCCGCAGGCCACGCCCATTCCCTCTGGCTCCGCCCACAGCCAAGCTCTCCTCTGTGGCTCCACCTCCACGCAGCCTGATTACCGCTTCTACCAATCAAGTCTCACCTCCCCCCTAGGACAGGCACCCAGGAAGCCCGTTGGCTCCGCCCCTTTATCCAGCTCTGGGATAATTCATAATCCCAGCCAATTACAGACCACTTCTCCTCCCCCATGCCCAACCCTCCTCCTGTCTGATGTCTCCACACTTGCTTTGAGACCTCGCTGCCCACCTGCTCTTGAGATGCTGCGCGCTGCCCAGGCAGCGGAATCGCCCATTCACCATGATGGCCAGGCGTGTGCAAAGAGCTTCACACTCCTCCATGCTGTGGAAAGCCCAGCCCCATGAGCTTGGTGAGGCGTGGATCAGCCAAGCCTGGCATAGCGTTACCCAAGCCAGAGCCTTCCCCCACCAGGGTGATCCGGCTTCTCTGGACAATTGCTGCTGGGCCTACACTGGGTACCATCTGAGGCTAGGTACCATCAGCAGGTGTTCCTTAGCCATGGGGTCCCACAAACTCGGTAAGGGGGTGTGATCAAGAGCGCCCCCTTGGGGATGGTCCTGTGTTCTGAACAGCCTCTCCCTAGAGCCTGCTAGGCCCTCTGCCCTGGGTATCTGGTGGGGAGGGAGGGGGCTGAGGAGGGGGAGAGGTACCTGTGCGAGGTGAGCACCACGGAGTGCCCCTCCCGCACTACGGCCAGGAGGCTGTTCCAGAGGAAGCGCCGTGCGCTGGGGTCCATGCCTGTGGTGGGCTCATCCTGGGAAGAGAGGACATGTCCTAGGCCAGGCCATGTAGATGCCCCAGACCCCACCCTGCCCAGCCCACACCCCACACACCAGAAAGACCACAGCAGGATCTCCAACCAGGGCAATAGCTGTCGCCAGCTTCCGTTTGTTGCCTCCACTGTAGGTGCCTGCAGGTCTGTCCGCATAACGTGGGAGCCCCAGGCGGGCCAGGCCCAGGCTGGCTATCTGTGGAGCAGGCCCAGAATAAGCATGAGGCAGCCACGCACAGATGGGTCATGCCTGTAATCCTAGTTACTCAAGAGGCTACCGAGCAGCCGGGGGCGGGTGGCTCACACCTGTAATCCTAGCTACTCAGGAGGCTGAGATCTGAGGATCACGGTTCAAAGCTAGCCTGGGCAGGAAAGTCCGTGAGACTCTTATCTCCAATAAACCACTAGAAAACCAGAAGTGGCGCTGTGGGCTCAAGAGGTAGAGCGCTCACCTTGAGCTGAAGGGCTGAGGGACAGCGCCCAGGCCCAGAGTTCAAGCCCCACGATGACCAAAAAAAAAAAAAAAGAGGCTACAGTATGAAGACTGCCCCGGCAAGAAAGTCCGTAATACTCTTTATCTCTAGTTAACTAGCAAAAAGCTGGAAGCGGAGTTATGAGTCAAGTGCTACAAGCCCAACCTTCAGCATGAAAATTCCGGGACAGGGCCCAGGCTCTGAGTTCAAGCCCCAGGGCTAGCTGGCTTGTATGTGTGTGTGTGTGTGTGTGTGTAAACACACACACGAGGCAGGGCCAAAAAAGCTTCCTAGGACCAGAATGAGCACATGGCTGGGCTTGGGGTGATGTGAAATGAGACCACAGTGAATTTTGGTTCACATCAGAGTGAGCTTTTGGGGTGGGACCAGAGATTGTGGGGCGGGGCTAGGTGGGCAGGGATGGGGGTGGGGGAGGTGGGCGGGGCAGGCCAAGGAGAAGGTGAAAGGTAAAGTGAAGCAGCTGGGGATGGTCAGGAAAGAAAGGAGGACATAAGCCCTAAACCCAGACAGGTCAGCAGGAATGCATGGAAAGGGCTGATGACCCAAAGTTAATTTAGGAGCTTGGTAGGGTGGGGCATAGACTAGAAAGAATACTTCTGATTGGACGGTTTGGTAGGGGCGGAGCCGAGAGTGAGAATGCTTAGGATTGGACTTAAGTTTGGGCGTGGCTAATGGGCTGGTCCAGGCTCCCTCAGCTAGGAGCCTCTGGGAGCCTGGGAGGGCAAGGTTGAAGGTGGAGGTCTCACCTGTGCCACTTGAGCCTCAGGAACACCGTGCAGGCGTGCGAAGAATTCCAGGTGTTCGCGACCTGTTAGCAAGTCGAAGATGGCATCCGACTGAGGACAGTAACCCATGCGGCGGTGCGCTTCAGCCGGTTCCTTGGCCACACTGGGAGATAGGGGACAGGACGCTCAGAGACCTGGCTTGTAGCAGGCCCAGGCCATACTGGTAGCATACACAGGGGCCTCAGGGTTCACCTATCCAGGACCACCATGGTAATGGACAGGGTGTTTCAGAGCCTGGTTTACAGGTTGGAGATCCTAGGCTGTGCTAGGAAGGGGTAAGGACAGGGAAAAAACAAGAATTTCCCACATCTCGTTCCCATGTGAAGCTCCCGCACCTGTGGCCTGCCAGCACTGCTTCGCCTCTGCTGGGCAATGTGTCCCCAGTCACCATGCGAAAGGTGGATGTTTTTCCTGCTCCATTCACTCCTAGAAGCCCAAAACACTGTGAGGGACACACAGAAACCTGCAATCAGTGAGGCCCCAGGTCCTCACTCCAGGAGCTTATCACTATGTGGCTTTGTTTCTGATTTCTGCATGGAGGGTTGGTGGGCTACAGGAAGCCTTAGGACAGAAATACTGGGGTAGGGACTGGGAAGGTGGCTCAGGGGTAGAGTGCTTGCCTTGCATGCATGAGGCTCTGGGTTCGATTCCTCAGCACCACATAGGCAGAAAAAGACAGAAGTGGGGCTGAGGCTCAAGTGGTAGAGTGCTAGCCTTGAGCTGAAGAGCTGAGGGACAGTGCCCAGGCCCAGAGTTCAGGCTCCATGACTGACAAGAAGAAAGAAAGAAGGAAAGAAGGAAAGAAAGAAAGAAAGAAAGGAAAGAAGGAAAAGAAAGAAAGAAAGAAATACTGGGGCAAAGCTGGGCGCTGGTGGCTCACACCTGCCATCCCAGCCACTCACTAGGCTGAGACCTGAGGATCATGGCTCAAAGCCAGCCTGGACAGTAAAGTCTGTGAGACTCATCTCCAGTTAAACATCAAAAAGCCAGAGTAGATGTGTGGTTCAAGTGTTAGAGTGCTAGTCTGGAGCAAAACAACAACAACAACAACTCAGGGACAGAGAGACCCAGGCCCTGAACTTAAGTCTCATCACACACACACACACACACACACACACACACACACACATGGAGGAAAAAAAATACCTGGGCTATGTGGAGAAGTTTTAAGTTGTTACCTAACAGGGAATTTTTTTGGGGGGAAGAGGGGGGGTCCGGTTGTGGGTCCTGAACTCTGGGTCTGGGCACTGTCCCTCAGCTCTTCAGCTCAAGGCTAGCGCTCTACCACTTGAGCCACAGCGCCACTTCCAGCTTTTTGTTTTTTCTGCTTATGTGGTGGTGAGGAATCAAACCCAGGGCCTCACGCATGCAAGGCAAGCACTCTACCACTGAGCCACCTTCCCAGCCCAAGGAATAATTTTTTTTTTTTTGGGTCCGGTCGTGGGGCCTGAACTCTGGGCCTGGACGCTGTCCCTCAGCTCTTCAGCTCAAGG